TTTTCTTACTACCTGTAATTTATTGCAGATTACTTGTATTTGCTTAATTGTTTACTAAATGTTTGAGGTGTGAAATAAACCGCAATGGAGCAAAATATGGGTGTGTGTGGTTGTAGGATGCGTTCTTGCGTGCGTGCGCGCGCGCGCGAGGGGGGGCGCGAACATTTTTCTTGTAAAACAAGGGGGGCTCAGCAAAAAAAGTTTGGGAACCACTGCTTTAACACCTTCTGCTATGTTTTAAAATGAACGACATCCTTAAAAAGAAATATTCAAACTACTTTGAGTAAGTATGAGTGTGTGAAAACTAGAATGTTGTTAACACGTAGGGATCACCCCCAAGACCCTTAATGTCTAACCTGCAGATAAAATTGAGTGGCAGGTAGCAGTAATGGGGTGAATGAGGCTACTGCAGCAGCCACACCCACCAGCCTCTGACTAATGCACCGCCCAAGGCGTTCAGGGCCCTGTTTGTGTGGTGATATGTTGTGAACCTAATGACTAGAGTGTAATTTAAAAAAGAAGAAGCGTGTGAGACATGTTGACATCCTCGTCTCTACAAACAGTCCAAAATGTAAATCTCAGAAGTGAAAATGACACAAAATACGTGGACTGGACACCATTTAAGAACTTTAAAACATGAGAATCAGAAAGACTTTATTTATCCCCAAGGGGCAATTAACATACAACAGAGCAGATAACGTTGAAGATAAGAACAATAAGAACAGAATACACAGAATACACAGTTTTAAAATTACAGTTTAAAATTAAAGTGACTGAAAGGTGAATAAACAACTGTAAGTGACTAAGAGTGAATAAATTGTCGGTAGTATAAGAAGAGTGTAGTTTCTGTTTCTGGTTGTGGGAAATGGTCTTATCTGCTGGAGTTAAAAAGTAGAGTGGCCTTGGGGACAAAGGTGGCTCTCCTCCTCTCAGTCCTGCAGGAAATGTAGCGGAGGCGTCACACAGAGGGCAGCCATTGAAATGCAGGGTGAAGAATGTGAGAGGGGTCGTTGATGATTTTGGCTGCCTGTCTAAGGGCCTGTTGGCTGAGTTTCTTAAGGAGGTATAGCCGTTGGTGGCACCTCCTGAGAATCTCCTCTGTGTTGGCAGAGAATCTCAGGAGGTTGTCAAAGATGGTTCCTAGGTATTTGTACTCCTCAACTACCTCCACTGGCTTCCCATGGACGGTGGTGGTGACTGAAGCAGCCAGATCCCTCTGCCTAATGGAGAAGGTCACCACCATCTCTTACCACCATCTCAAACCTGCGGTAGAAAGCGTTGAGATCGTCAGGGAGGGAGGAGGGGTTTCTGCCCTCCACCTGGATGGTTCTGGGGATGGTGACCACAGTATTCACAGAGGCCATGGTTTTGAGGCCCTGCCAGGCTGAGTGAGGCCCTCTTGAGCTCCTGGTTGACCTCCTTTTTGTCCAGAGCAGAGCCGGTGAAGAAAATCCTCTTTTTTTATTAAGGATTTCCTTGAGTTCCTTGGTGATCCAGGGTTTGTTGTTGGGGTAGATGGAGACTGTTTTGAGGGGATAATGTTGTCAGCACATAAGGAGATGTATGATGTCACCGTGCTGACTTGTTCGCCGATGTCATCAGAGGGAGAAGGAAGGCTGTCCCAGTCAGTGGCTTCGACTCACCCTACATCCTTGTAGGGTGAGGATACTTTCCTCTGTCCACTGCTTGATGTTTTTGGTGACCTCTCTAATCCTCTTGATAACTGGGGTGTAAGCAGGGGCCAGCAGGATGGTGTGGTAACATGAGAAAAGCACAAGAAAAAAGCTGAAGTCAGAAAAGGTTAAAAGGTGAAATACTCGACCACTTGTAGTCTTAATCATGTTGAAGTGGCCTCTGTAGTGCAATACATAACTATACTACTGCACACTGTGCAACCTAAACTTTACACCTATTATATTACAGTTTTCCACACTTCCTACAGGACACTTCTTGAAGTCTTCCGCCCTTTTGCCTAAACTTTAAACACAAATACTCTACAAAAAAACAAACAAACAACAACCACACAAACACATTCAAAGCTGGTTAAACTCAGAATCACACCGTATCACTCTGACTCTGTTACTTCTGACCTTTAATAACCTATTTGTGCCACTGTTACAGGGCGTAAACTCACTTGTCAATAGTGCACAGATCTTATCTGCAGTCTGGAATTCTGCTCTTATCAGAGCAGCAATAAAGAGTTCATAACATTTCTGAAATTTGCAACATGTGGTTTTGAATTGGTGTGTGTGTGTGTGTGTACCATGGCTAAATATCTTTGTGGGGACCAAAAGTTGAAATTTTATTGTACTATTGGGGACAAGCAGCCCTTATAGGGACAAAATTCCCGTCCCCATAAGTCTGAAGGAATTTTTGAGACTCGAAATGCGGTTTTAGTGTCAGGGTTAGAGTTAGGTTATGGTTATGGTTATAGTAAGCAGCTAGGGAAAGCATTAGTTCAATTAGATATCCTTAGATATCTTTTATCCTGTCTTCCTTCTCTCACCCCAACCGGTCGCAGCAGATGGCCGCCCCTCCCTGAGCCTGGTTCTGCTGGAGGTTTCTTCTTGTTAAAAGGGAGTTTTTCCTTCCCACTGTCGCCAAAGTGCTTGCTCATAGGGGGTCATATGATTGTTGGGTTTTTCTCTGTATCTATGAAGCGCCTTGAGGCGACTTTTGTTGTGATTTGGCGCTATATAAATAAAATTGAATTGAATTGAATTGAATATCCCCACAAAAATATGAAAACACAACTTTCTGTGTGAACAAATCTCTGAGTTCATAACTTTGTAATGATTAATGATTCAGGAACCTTTGTACAAGTGTATGAGTCAATCCAGGCTTGAGCAGCAAAACCTATGACTGTTCAAAGTCCAACAACAATGCTTAGAAGAAGCAGGAGACACAGAGGCGGCTATTCCAGCGCTTTGAAAAACATTTGTTCGAGGTAGGATTAATTATTTTCTGTATCGTCACATCCCTGTCACAGACCAACAATAATAATAATCGGCTGTTCCTTCTTGGAAGTTTTATCAGAGAATCAGTTTCAGTGTGACAGAAAGTGGTTTGAGCATTTCACATTCATGAATTTCCACTGTTGTCTAATGCCACTTAGCTTGAGTGAGTAAACACCCACCACTAGAGTCCGTATGAAGTCTACGGGTGAAGTCAGTGAGTGTTGAGAGAGAGACTCCAGTTTTTACCAGGTTTTGAATTTCGCACCATTTTGTAGAATTAACTGCAATGGATTAGTCTGGACCATTTTGTGTGTCCACATTGTTAGACTTTGTTGAAGAGTTGTTGACTCTCCTTCTGAGGAGTTACTAGAAAACTGCAGTGAGAGACAGTTGTTGCTCAGTATTGCTCTGTTAGACCCAAACAGACAAAAGAAAATCTGAAAAGCATAAAAACTTACAAAAATCTGAACGGTCTCATTTAACCAAATGAGTGTAAATAAGCCAATCCTCAAATCCAAGCAGCCATGAAAACCCAGAAGTACATGTAGAGGCGTAGGAGCTGTCACCTGTACTTTCTGATATTTTAAAGGGTTTAGAAAAAGCTACGTTACAAAACACATTGTTGTCTTGGTTTCTTTGACAGAGAAAATAGTAACAGGAAGCTTGCTTTTCTTTATCATTTTCACAGTAATGAGCAATGCTCTTCAGGAGCTCAGTCTGATCTTCACACACCTTCTCTGCTGCTGTGGGAACAGGAAGCAGGTGAAGAAGAGCACCAGAGAGGAAATCTGTCTTTGAACAAAGAAGAAATTCTTTCTAGTGTCTCTAAAAGTGTTTCCTTTGAGGTATGTTTTTTTCCTAATTTGAGCTTCCATATTTAAGACTGTAATGTTTAATGTTTCAGAGGATTGTACTGTTGCTTCCTGTAAGACAGAGATAAAGAGCATTTGTTTTTGTTAATTTTCAGAGGTGAATCATGGCTCTTTATCAGATTTCTGGACTTTTTACACTTCGACTCTCATCCTTCATTAATGCTGCCCTGTCTCTAACGCTTCTCTTCTGCAGAGGTAAGTTTAGAGGCATAAAAGACAATTACAGGCTGAAAAAACATGTTTATCTTCACATTATGAAAGAGTCAAGCCCTGGTCATGTACACAGAGAGACTCTTTACACAATAAAAAACACAGAAAAATGGGACCAAATTACTAACATAATGGTGCAAATGTCATTTATTTGCATTGTTGTTGCTCTTTGTGTTATTTACTCTCTGAGTTTAAATAAAGAACAGAATCTTTTAGACTTCATCTGTGCAGAGATCCATCCATGTCTGAGGTGTTGCTTCAATCAGCCTTTCATCTGAATCCTACAACAATAAATCAAATCTGATGTGTTTCTTTGCAGGTTATTCTCAGGAAGCTCCAACAAAGCAAATAGTGGCTCTGCTGGGTGATGATGTTGTTTTACCCTGTTTCCTGAAAACTGCTGTGGATGTATCACAGCTGCAGCTGGAGTGGGCAAGAACTGACCTGACACCAGGATTTATCTACATGTGGGAGAAAAATAAAGAAAACGTGGACGACAAGCAGCCGTCATATGCTGGAAGAACCTCACTGTCCTTTGATAATCTGAAGCATGGAGACGTCTCACTGACTCTCTCCAAAGTACAGCTGTCTGATGAAGGACTGTACAGATGTTTCATTCCACAGCTGGGTCAAAGGTCATATGTTCATCTTATTGTTGGTAAGATTATTTTATTTAATTTTATTATGACTAATTCCTACTGTCAAAGTTTATCAGCACAAAAGAATCTTTTAAAAATTTTCTGTAATATGTGACATTATTTGTCTTTTCCAGTGTAAATAAATAATTCAAAGTAACGATATTGATAATCTCACACACAGTTAGTAGATATCCAGATGTTCTCTTGTAACATGTGTGCAGCAGATTACTGTGACTTCCCCTGTCTCCCTTCATCAGGGTCAGCATCTACACCCGTCATAAAGGTGATGTCAAATGACAGCAGCAGGGTGGTGTTACAGTGTGAGTCTGCAGGCTGGTATCCAGAGCCTGAGCTGCTGTGGTTGGACGGTGAGGGAAACCTCCTCTCTGCTGGACCTACAGAGACCCTCAGAGGTCCTGATGACCTCTATACTGTCAGCAGCAGAGTGACTGTGGAGAAGAGACACAGCAACAACATCACCTGCAGAGTCCAACAGAGGAACACCAACCAGAGCAGAGAGACACACAGACATGTTCCAGGTATTAATGACTCACAGTCAGAAACTATTTCATGATTTCACCAAATCAGAACTAGTTTTACAGGAATAACTTCTATTTCTTCATCTTTTAAGGCTCTGCTGTCAGGAAGGAACCATCGGCCACTTTCATCATTGTGATCGTTGGCCTGCTGTGGATTTGTACCATTGTCACTGTCGTGTGGAATTTCACACCATCAAAAAAACCTGGTGCGTCACACGTTTGTTTCCCCTCTCTTCAATAATCAGACAATGTTTTTTGACACTGCGGATTTATGATACTCAGCTGAAATAAATAAAGCAGAGTGTCACCTTTGTTCCACTCTATAGACGTCTTTGATAACAACCAAACACATTCAATTCAATTTTATTTATACAGCACCAAATTACAACAACAGTCGCCTCAAGGCGCTTTATATTGTAAAGTAGACCCTACAATAATACATACGGAGAAAAACACAACAGTCATATGACCCCTATGAGCAAGTGCTTTGGTGACAGTGGGGAGGAAAAACGCCGTTTTAATAGGAAGAATCCTTCAGTAGAACCAGGCAGCCAAGCACATGTTTGTATTATTTTGTCGTTTCTGTGTGCAGACCCCAAAGAGATTAAAACTGAGAAGAAAACAACAAAACAAAAATGCACCAGAGCTCCTGCTGACAACACCGAGATCATAGCAATAAAAGCAGTGCCGCCATCAGAACAGCTGGAAGACGACACATCTGCTGCTGAGGAGATCAAAGAAGGCGAGAAGGAAAAGAAACGGAAGAAACCGAAGTACAGAATAAGTGGTTCAAAGAAAAAAGCTCAAATTTGACGACCGTTTGTCTTAAAAACAGAGACTTTAGCTCTCGTGCTGCATCCAATATTTCGAGGAGCTGACGCCATAACGTGCATGACGTGAGACACAGAAGACACTCTGTGTCTTTGCTCATCGTCACGTCATCATCACATCACAGAAAACATCAAACTTGTGACGTGTTCAGGAGTTTTCATCCATGAGGGAACTGCAGTGACGCCACAGAAAAAACTAAAAACCCTGCAGTTTGTTTCGCAGCACCTCCAGACTCACACACTGCATCGTGTGGTAAAGGCTTTACCCACTGGAGGGAGCCACAGATCTGACTGTTGTGATAAAGCAGAGTGCACCTCAGCCTGTGGGTCACTTTTAAAGAGGAAGTTCAGAAATGTAAAATGAGTCATGTGACCTTCCTTATGCGTTTGCTTCTTTGAGTCTGTCAGCTACCTCCGCATAATCTGGAGGATGTTAGGAAGTTAATGATTATCGCGACTCAACAAACGGACGTGCTTTCAGCTTTTCTAGTGTGTTATTTTCCTCATGTGTGTCATTGCCTTCAGTTTACATCCATGTTTATAGACCATCCAGTTTCATGTTGTGCTTTGTGCTGCACAACTGATGAAGTTCAGAATCACATTTATTTAAGTTTGTGCACAAACGAGTGTCACAGCTTATAACTGAGGTGTGAGGGGTCGGCAGCAAGCTTCCACTTTCCACTGCAGAAAGACTTCAGATTGTTTGGAAGTGACCTTACAACCTTTCTCAGAGGGAAGAGCAACAGCCTGGATTAGATTAGATTCATGCAGTGTCTTTGAAAAGTGTACAACATAATGAAATGAAGTTTAGCATCTAATCCAAAGTGTAAACTATGTGTGTAGATGGTTTTGTATATACAATACACACACACACCAATTACAAGATGTACAGTATTTGCATGCAATATTAAAATACGCGGTGTGTGTATGATGTCTATGTGTACAAAGCTTTAGTTTTGCAGTTTTACTTTCAGTTCAGCAGAATGTTCAGCTGGATCTGAAACTTTGGTGTGATTACAGCGAGGGTGATCAGAGTGTGACGTACGCTGGATTTAATGGTTTTATTATCAGCTTAGAATGAAATCTGCTGTCTTTCTAACTCTGTGACACAAAACACACTGATCAGTAAGTGTGTCATCTGTGAGATTTGTGACCTGCAGCAGTCTCTGTTAGTGACGCTTCACAGTTTGTGTAATCTGAAGCCAGACTGTGCAGTTAAGACAATTAAAAACTTGTTTCATTCAGAACCTGATGCCAACTTACCAGAGCATCCAGTTTGACCACAGCAGAGCCCAAAGACAATGACGCGCTGCCTTTCTGCTGGTTTTTTATCTCTGTTGAGCTCCAGCAAACTCTCATAACGACTTTATAACAACCGATTTACTGTAAAACTCAGGACAACAGGAGTTACAGTCTGCACCACTGCGGTAAGCCTTTTTAAATATATAATAATGTATCTGTGTGTCTGTGTAAGCGTGTGTCTCTGCGTCGCTGTAGAGTTCCTGGTGAGTGTGATGGTGCATGTCCAGCTTTAGCAGACCGATGAACACAGCGGACATGTTTCAGCATTAGCAGCATCATAAACAAACATGTTCTAAAAATGATATTTAAAGATGAATTATGGTCTTAACAACAAATGTTCTCTTATAAAGTCAGACTTTCTGTCCACATTACTTTGATTTTTACTAGAAGTAATTTGTCAAAAAGACACAAAACACAGAACTGTGTTTCTTTTTCCAGAAAAAAATTGTTTTTCTTTTATTAGCGCCCTGAATAACACACAAACCCACCCTATAAAACCACCCTGGTGCTTTACAGAGCGTCCTGGGGTGGAGTCAGATTCCCACGCTTACGTTGTTATTTTTGTTTCTCTTGGTTCAAATCCAGCAACTCAACTGTTTCCACTGATTGAAGGTGGATCAGGTTTGTTTATTTGACCTAAAATCACGCAAAGAAATCACGTTATACAGAGTACACACTTGCCTGTGTCGGACTGTGACATCATTCTTAACACGAGCCACGATCCGAGCTCATGAGGTCGTCATTAAATTAAAAGCAACTCTAAATATGCACATCTTACATTTACATTTGTTAAAGTTACACTTACACTCTGTGGTCTCGCTTCCTGTTGTGTCAGTGTGATATTGTGGTAACACCTAAGTGGACATTAAATGTTTCCATATGTAGGCTTACTGATACAAGATGCAAACCGGTGTCCCTCTGTGCTCACGTGCAATATGAGCACAGACTCTTTTACATTTGTTTGTTTTTTGTTATCATTATTAATGTGAGATTAATCAGCTCTGTCTGTTTGATAGTCCACCGTTCACAGGTTTCAAGATGCATCGTCTTCAAACTTTGCAACAATAAACTAGGTCTTCAGGGTCATGAGTAGCTAGGCTGGCTAAATATTTAAACCTTGACCTTTGTTGTTCTTGCACCCAAAGTCAAAGTTAACCTAATTATTTCAAGAAACCATCTTGAGTAATATATCATATGAAAAGGCATTTTTAAAAGGCATATTTTTTCAATTTGATGCCCTACAACGTCCCAGTGACACCATAACAGGCTGATGTCTGCCTTTCAGGGGGGGTTTGCACTCTCTGGGTGGAGGTCTGTGATGAAACAGAAGTATTAGGGCAAGTGGTGAAAGACAGATGCTAATGTTCTATGTCAAAGAATAAAAGCATGAAAGATGTGTGTCTAATTTATTTTGATTAATTTATGAATTAATTTAAGCAGTCGCCTCAATGCACTTTATATTGTGAGGTAAAGACTCTACAATAATACAGAGAAACCCCGGCAATCCACTATCAGCAAGCACTTGGTGACAGGGAGAAGAAGAAAACCTGTTGTAGGGGGGGACGACCAAACATATATGACATATTTTAGTCATATTTCGATGACTAAAGAAAGACATAAAATATGTTCTCTTCAGTCCACGTTGAACTTCATTTTTGAACTTAGGCTATGTCCACACGTACCCGGGTATTTTTGAAAACGCAGATTTTTCTATGCGTTTGCACCTTTCGTCCACACGTAAATGACGTTTTTGGTCACTGAAAACGGAGAATTTTAAAAACGCCTGCCAGGGTGGATATTTTCTAAAACTCCGTTTTTGCATTTACGTGTGGACGAGAAAAACTGAGAAAACGCAGCGTCAAAGGTGTGCGCATTTTTTGACGTCACAGTGTGCGCCACGTTATTGTTTCGGTGAAATGAATTTCTACAATACTGTTACTGTTAATT